ATTATCCCACTCGTACTCAGGTACAGTTGATGTGGAAATCTACTCCCGGAACTATCATTCTATTGCTACACACACAGGGGAGATATTTATATGGCAAAAATAATACACAGACATATGTCACAGGAAATGATATACTCCTTGTACAAATGGATAATGAAAAATTCATAAACTTACTATTTAATTACTTAATCTTTATAATCTTAATTATACTATTTAATATATATATGTTATATATATATCATATTATACTAATAGATATTAAATATATTATATATATTAAATATATTTATATTATTATATGATAATACATATTAAGTTAATAATATTATTATAAATTATAATATATATAGTATATTAATTTATTGATTAAGTATAATATAACATTAAATTGATATATATATGCTATGTAATATATATTATATATAATATATTATAATAATATATAATTACTATATACATAAGTAATTAATAATAAATATTTACCTTATTAAATTATATATACATTAATTATATATATATTTATATATATTACTATTATTATATATATATAATATATATATACTATATATATATTATAATATAATATATATATATAATATATATTCATATATATATTATATATATTATATATATTATAATAATAATATATAATTATAATTATTAATATATTATATATTTATATATATATATGTATATATATTATAATATATAATAATATTAATATATATATTATAGTATATAAATATAAGTATTATAATATAATGTAATATATTAATATATAATATTATATATACTATATATATATTATTATAATAAATTATATCGCATATATATAGATTAATATATATTATATATATACTATTAAATTATATTAATATAATTAATTATATATATACATTATATATATATTACATCATACTCCATTATACATATACAATATATAATGATATCTATCTCTATATCTATAACTATATATATTTAAATTATATTAATAATATATATTATATATGATATATAATATAATATCTTATTTTTTATAATGATAATATATTATAATACTATATAATATATAAACCATATAGTATATAATATATATATAATTAAAAACAATAGTATATATTATCAATATATAATATAATTAATATTAATTATACATATAATATATATAATATATATATATACTACTATATACTTAATATATATTAATATATTTAAGATACATATGTAAACTAGTTTAATATACATATCATCATCAATATTCACGTACAACAACCTATAATTGGAAGTATATAAATATTTATATGTATCTATAATACATGATGCATTAGCTATAATATAAATTATATAATATTATATATTTATATAATATATATTAAATATATACTATTATGTATATTAATTATTATATTAATGTAATTAATATGTTAAGTACATACATATATATTATATCTATATATAGTATTAATATTTATATATATAATTATTGTTATTATATATGATATATATCATATATATATATATATTATATATATAAATATATATACAATCATATATATATATATATATATATACTACATATATTAATAATCTGTATGTTAATTTTATTAAATAATTATATATATATTATATTACATATATATGTATTTTGAGTACACACTCACACACACACAACACACCACACACCACACACTCAACACCACAATATGCTCGAAGCCGGACAGTTCACCACACTACAAAATCAGCTACACACATCACTACACCCGACCAACGAGCCACGCCTATCCATACCCACTACTAAAGGAACATCAACACACACGAAACTACACGCATTTTCGGCAATGAGTGATATCCACTATGTCATTTCTAACCTCTGACACTGTCCTGTGTTTAGTATAAAAGCTAAGCTAAATACTGACCCTCGCTTAGGAAATAACGAGGCAAACACATGCAGACACGAGAGGGCAGACAGATGACTGATCTTGCTCAGTTCACCACCATGGAGATATGAGCTTACGATCTCTCATGGGATATTCATTTAATAATACCTATTATATCAATATAACAACGCCTAAGGCAGCTCCGAATAGAAGCGTATCGCCTTATGAGCTTGCTGCTACATGCAAGATAAACAGAGTGCAACACTCACCATAACTACTCATATATATATACTTCAGCCATCTGGTAGCCTTAAATGTGGATTCAGGCGCAGAACTCACCTCAATACCACACCTTGGTAATTGATTACATCTGGTTAGGCCAACCAGCTCGGATAAGAACTCAACATATGATCACCTATATTATAGAATGAACGTTTCCTATTAGTCGCTCACTCTATTGACCACATGATGTCACGTTCTATTTGCGCACTCTTATACCGTTTAACCTCAGCACTAAGTCTCTACAATAACTATAGTATCCAGTTCATTTGCCCACAACTTCGATGTCATGAGTAATTAATCAATGCCTTTGAACTACCACTCCAGCTACATTGCCTCAAAGTCTTATGAGTCAATCACACGTCAGTACATATACCAGGATATCAAATAGTTCTTCATAAACTATCATATAATAATATAAAGTTATATAATGATTCATTATTAATATATACTACGACTTCAATAGGTATCTAGCAAGTTTATTATTAATAATATATGTATATTCTATATTAATCAACAATTTATATCTCATATGTTTAATAATTATTATAGTTTTTACTAATTAACAATCATCACATATCAACTGAACGTTATATCACAACTAGGATAAGTTAAGATAATATATAGGAAAACAAATTCTCTAAAATTTATAGCACTCATCTACTAATTTACTGACTAAATCTGCTATTATAAAAACCAACAAATATCGTATATTTGGATATGTTATCTATTTTGAAAACATTACCTGCCTTTATTACTTGCCGACAGTAACCATTATTATACTTATTCCCACATATTAAATGTCGAATTAACCTTACCTGTCTCCAACCTTTACCCCACTCTACTGTTTTTTCCTCTATACATAAGGAATCACTCAAGAATTGTAAAATTGTGTATGTCACCTTAGCTAACGATGAGTAAGCAGGTTTATTGCCACGCCAGCTACAGTACCCGACCCCCAGTCAGACTCCAATGAGTAAATTACTCTTCTTATATTAATATAATACAAGTAATGAATATATATATATAAGTGTGTCACATGAGGAGTCAGAGTTTACGTAGAGAGTGTCTGAGTCGACCAGCTGTCACCGCTTCATAACCTCAGTTTATTCCTGTTTGCTACGTGATATATATGCTGCTCAAATCTCACATATATACAGTGTGGATCATGACTATGTGGATATGGAGAGCAGTAGATGGGATGTATTGTAGCATCTGATTATTGGACCCAAGATTATGAGACAGACTGTATATGAACTCAAATGAGATATGAAGCACCAACACCTAATACAGAATGGGGCTGAGATATAGTACTAGAGAGACTATGAAAATTAAGGTATAAATAAGTATATATTATGGATATACTGAAATAACAGCATTCGTACGTACATTTCAATAACTAAATAGTTAATTCTTTATTGTACCCAAAGTAGATATTATATATATAATTAACGTTGATTGCTTTTATATTTTTATTTAATTATAGACAATAATATAACTCACTAAGCCTACTTTATATATCACCAAGCATTTAATTCATTGTAAAGTGGCTGTACAACATTATAACGTGAGTCGGTAATACTTGGTTACCTACTGACGCGTATCCTCTGGTAAAAACTTATATGTGTATCACGCTGGTTTCTAGCGCCGGTAACCTGCTTCTCTTGATGTACCAACCCTTACGTTTTATAACTGATTCCGACTCGCTTAAATGACACACACACATATATATTTTATTAGATTAAACTGAGAAGGCAAATGTATTAGCCCGAAGAAGGAACGTCTTCCTTGAACCTAGAAAAGGGACATCGATCAATCTGAAGGATAGATTAAACTGGACAAATAGTGGATGAAGAAGTTGAATCTCAATCTCAATCTCAATAACAATGCGCAGGGCACTAATGAGCGCATAACACGCATATTGGTGTAATATTAGGTTACCTGAAGGTAGAACTTCAATAAACCTAAAGAAGAAACATCTTGGAATAACCTGAAGGAGGAACATCTTGGAATAACCTGAAGAGGAAATATCTTGGATTACCCGGACAGTCTCTCGCATCTGCATGAAGAAGGATTATGTTCGATTAAGCAATATCTTGGTTTTCTTAAAAGAGAGATATATTTTCAAAATAGTAATGTACTGTAGGCAGATAGATATCTAAATAGATAAATACATATACTTGTTGATGCTTTACACCGAGATAAAATGTTTCTACGCACATCAAACACAGCACTTAGGGTCGGCCGGCGGATGCCCCATTCCTCACCCTCGATAACGTTGAGGACGAGCGAGGCAGGGACACCACCCGACGGGGAGCACGTGTAGTTGCCGGAGTCGGCCGTTCGAGCGTCCTCGATCTCCAGATGGCTCATACCCTCGGGCAGCGTCAGCACGCGGATTCTGCCACCGCTGCTCTCGTACTCCACAAGCCGCTCCTCCTTGTACCACAGCGTGAACCCTAATGAACAAAAACAATTAAGGTTCAAGAACACAAAGTGTCTGTGTGTACGTGCGTGTAAATGAATGAATAAATGAATACAAATGTTCACATGTACAAAACAGACATGCACAAATTTGTATACATACATATATATATTATATGCATATAAATATATATATATATATATATATATATATATATATATATTATATTATATATATATATATTGTATATATTGAAATATATATGTATGTATATATAGATAGACACACACACACACACACATCTCAATATGTTTCTGTACCGCTGTGACCTCCCCTGATATGTATATATTTTTTTAATGAACTATTCTAGCAGCAACATTAAGGTATGGCTAGAGCTATAAAGGTGTAATTTAGACAAA